TAAAAGGAAACAGCTCAACTCCCGCCTACACGTCATCAGACCTCTCCTCAAATCAAACATGAACCTGTCTAACCGTTTACTTTTATACAAAAGTCTCCTCCAACCAATATGGTCATATGGAATCGCCCTCTGGGGCACTGCCAAACCATCAAACCTTAGGACAATCCAGGCTTTCCAATCAATATGTCTTCGCACGGTCGCCAAAGCACCTTGGTCTGTTACAAATGCCTCTTTACATCAAGATCTCAAAGTTCAATCCATCAACCAAACAGCAATTACATTCTACTCAAGACTTCACTGCAAAATGCTTGGCCACCCAAACAAATTAATATCCAATCTTCGCTCAAAACATCTTCCCGGCAACCCTACCCGTCGACTTAACAGAAATTGGTCCAGAGACCTTATCTAAAATACTTTTATATTTAATTAACTAGATTTAAGACTCATTAAAAGGTAGCTCAACTGTGAGCTTCCCTTCACTGCCCCATCATTGTTATTTCTCCCTCCAATTTACTCATTGTACATAACTTGTATAGATTGTAAATTTTTCAATAAACGCTATTTAATAAAAAAAAATAAATAAATAAATATTATTATTAAATTTGTGTATTATTGTATCTATTGTCAATACGATCACTTGTAAATTATATTTTTGTCCGTTGGCCGTTGGCGCTTTCTCAAACCAAGTAAATAAATCTCTTATTATATATAAGTCTTTAGCAAGGCAGACTACATAGAGATCACTAATTTTTTTAACTATTTCAATTGGAAACGTACCTTTCTATCATACTCCCCTGATGATTCCATGTCTGTCTTCCTTGATGCTCTCCATTATTCAATTTTATCTTTTGTTCCTAAAATCTCTTTTCGCCCTTCCACTTTCCCGTCATGGTACACTAAGGAGCTCAAAGAACTAGTGTTTGCTAAGTCTCGCGCTCATGGTAAATTTAAGTCATCCCAGCTATTATCAGATTACAAACATTTTTCACTTCTTCGCGCTAAATTTAAATTCATCTCCAGACAATGTTACCGTAATTTTGTCTCTCGTACCGAGTCCTCCTTATTAAGCAACCCACGTTATTTTTGGAGTTTCATTAGAAAAAACCGCTCTTCTCAATCTATTCCTTCAATTGTCACACTCAATGGTATACGGAGTACATCTCTTTCCGACACAACTAACCTTTTTGCTACATATTTTTCTTCTATGTTCACTCAGCCTTCACCGTCTCCATCCCAAACATTACATCCTACCTCCCACTTTCCACTCCCGTCTAATGCCTATTTTTCGATTAGTGACGTCTACAAATGCTTATGTTCCCTTCGCAATATTAAATCTGTTGGTCCAGATGGTATCCAGGGTGATTTCTTGTACAAACTTCGATCTGTTCTAGTAGAGCCGTTGTGGTTATTGTTTAGGCGTTCTATTGACTCAGGTATTTTTCCATCTGCTCTTAAACTTGGCTCAATTAGACCCATATTTAAAGCTGGTGATTCTACTGATGTTTCTAACTATCGTCCAATAACTATCCTCCCACATTTATCCAAATTATTTGAAACGCTTGTCCTTAACGCAATTCGCCCTTCCTTGAATCATATCCTAATTGATGAGCAACATGGCTTCCGTCCTGGTAGATCAACTGTTACTTGTAACCTTAGTCTTCATTCATATATATATGATGCTTTTCGCGATAACTGCCAAGTAGATGTAATCTATACAGATTTTTCCAAGGCTTTCGATCGTGTTGATCATAATCATCTTATGTCAACACTAGACTCTATAGGCATCGGCGAACCTCTACTATCCTGGCTTCACTCTTACATCACAAATAGGATACAATGAGTAACTGTTGATTCCACCTCTTCTGACCACTTTACCCCCTCCTCAGGTGTACCACAAGGTGCTGTTCTTTCTCCACTTCTATTTGCCCTATTCGTAAACTCAGCCACCTCCGTCCTCCAGCATGCTAAACTTCTTATATTTGCTGATGATATGAAAATATTTTTCCGCATAAAATCCATCTCTGACTGTCACCTTCTCCAAAACGACCTTCAGCGATTAGTAACATGGGGTGAATCATTGGGGCTAGCTCTTAATATTACTAAATGCTCAGTAATGACTTTTTGTCGTATTAATGCCGTAATTAAGCATACTTACTCTGTAAACAATACCCCCTTAACAACTTGTAATAATTATATAAAAGATTTAGGATTCACTCTTACTCGAAACCTGTGCCCTAATATGCACATTCAGTTAATCTGTTGTAAGGCTCTTAAACTGCTTGGTTTCATAAACCGTATCTCCACAGACTATCACTTGATCACACCACTAAAAACTCTTTTCTGTTCCTTAGTCCGTCCCATCCTTGAATATGGCACCATCCTCTGGGACCCATCCACCGCTTCTGCACGTAGCATGATAGAAAGGGTTCAAAGAAAATTCCTCCGTCATGCTGCTTTCAAATTAAACATATTCTGCCCACCTCACGATTACACGCCAATCCAACGAATTTTTTCTTTAGAAAGTCTCGCCGATCGTCGCCATTCAGCCAACTTAACATTTCTTTCTAATCTTCTTTCCTCTAAAATAGACAGTCCTGAATCACTATCCCGTGTCTCATTTAATGTTCCCTCCCGTCGTACACGATCATCTGTTCCATTTAATATTCCTTTCTCTTCCTCAAACTACTATCTTAACTCACCGATCATCCGTCTTATGCGCATTGCCAACACTGACCCTTCATTCTCTCTCTAAATTGAGCCTCGTTTCCATAACCAAACTATTATTTCTATTATTATTATACTACTATTTTCATGTATTATAGGGTTCGTCCCGTATTGTAAAATAAATAAATAAATAAATCATTTACAAATATGTTAAGTCTATATTATGGTTATTTATTTTTGAATAAATAAATAAATAAATAAGTATAATATTATTCCTGTTAATATTGTTCTCATCAAACTTATATATTTCATTATATAACATTGTCAACACATACAATATCTTTAATTTGTATTGTCTATATTTTAAATCAAACTTAGGTATTATAAGGTTATAAACTTTATATAGGTATAATATTTTATCGTCATACTAATACTATCAATGTAATAGGTACCTGATACTTATGTAATAGTATCAATAATTAGAGAATAAGATACCTACGTATAATTACTTAAAATATAATGAATTCAAATGTAATGATTATGAGAATCTGTAGAAGTAAACCTCAGTTAGTTCCGATAACCAATACACTTATTATTGGGGTACTGTATACTTTTAGCAAATTCAAACAATATTTAGAAGAAGACAATATATAAAATAGAAAAAAAAAATCGAAAAAATAACAAAAACAAGGGGAAAACAACAAAAAAAAACAACAAAAGTTACACAGAAAAATAGAAATATTGGCAAAGGAATACAAAAAATCTAAATATGACGAAAAACACAAAAAGGAGCTGTTGAAAAATAGTCCAAGAAGTATAATATAATAGACTGAAAATTACAATCTCAAAAATAACATTTTATGGAAATTCAGTTGGCTCAAGGAATGATACAGGCAAACAAAAAACTAAACTAAGAGTTACAAGTCGAAAAAGAACCGTCATAAAGCATTCTTAAAAAAAAAAAAAAAAAGCAAAATCAGTGTAAATGTTTACATAAATAGTTGTAAATATAATAAAATATCCTAATATATTGTTACAATGACAGTTAAAAAATATTAAAAATAGATGGTCACAATTTTTTTTTCCAATATTTAAAGTTTGATTTTTGACACAATACGTAAAAATCAGTTAGAAATTCATAACAATTATTCTTTTCAAATCTATTTATTTTTTTAATGTAATGCAAGATTCTTCATAAGTTTTTCTATGCTTCCAAAAAATAAAAATGTTTACAGGAAAAAATTAAATTTGTATGAGCGTTCGAAGTTGAAATACTTACAACATTGAATATTCTGTCATTTGAATCCTAGACTGGCAAACCATCTCTGCTCAGAATCGTTTTTGTATACAATGATAATATTATATCATTGAATTCAAATGTAATAACATCTATTACAGTTCCCCACCCACTTGTAACCTACTGTACTGCAGAGCAACTTACCCTTTTTTTTGTTTTTTTGTAACTTAATAATTATATGGAATTATATTTAAAATTGATTTGTTTTTAAGTAGTAATGACTTATATTGTTACACGTAATACTCATTAAACCTATTTGGGCAAAATACTCACTATTCCCTCTATTAGTTAGATTAATAGTCGGTGGAAATCCTGTAATAAATTTGTGTTTATATTAAAAGTCCATATAGTAATAATGCGTATGTATTTTATGTATAGTATTGACGTATTGTATATATGAGTAAAAATCCAAAATCTTTGTTCGTGACATACATTGTATTCAAATATAATATATATATTAATATATTATAATACATTATATTCTACATATAGAAATGTTCAACGGTAGTTTCCAACATAAACGCAGTGTGCCGTTGAATATATAATATACCATATGGGTGATTATTTTGCCACATAACACTCGATATTCAAGTACCTACACTAACCTTACCAAATATTATATCAGTTATAGAGAGGATGGTTCTAAATTTGTAGATTAGAATAACCAATATGGCATTATATATTGTTCTGCGAGAAAATCAGTTTGGATATATAATATATATATTTCGACAGAAATGATCCCTGTAATGAAAACCATACTGATAATAGTTAAATATATAAGCTCGAGTAAACACATACTCAATAATCTAATTGTAATTAATACACATATAGGTATGTTATAGCTAAGGCACCTACTTATTAAATACGTAATATGATTAACATCATTGTCATAGTATCGTCGTCGTTGTCGCCTCCGTCATAATTATTAGTATTATTATTACTATTATAATTACTGTCATTTCAGTTTGTGAATATTGTGCGTTTTGCCCTCAGTTGTAGATGGACGTGTTCAAGGCGCAGTGTCGACAATACATTTGACATGAACAACACGACGAGTGGATCGTATATGGTCCAGCTCGACGACGCCGCAAACGAGACGGTAGAGGGTTATTTGCTCCGGACCCGAGGGCCCAAGCACCTTTCGCTGAACATCGTGTTGCCAATCACCGTCATCTACGTGTTCATATTCGTCACAGGAGTGATTGGCAATATCGCCGTTTGCGTAGTTATCGTTCGCAACAACTTCATGCACACGGCCACCAACTACTACCTGTTCAGCCTGGCCGTATCCGATCTCACACTCTTACTCCTAGGTAAGTCCCCTGTACTACACGACCACGTGGAATAATATTATATCGCAAAGTTAAAGGAAATAACCGATAATTATTATAATATCTTCACATATTATGTGCAATGTGTGAAGTATTTATTGCAAGTAAATAACAAGTATAATTTAACAGTTATAGTACCTATAAATCTATAGGCAACTAATTTACAAAAGTACCAAAAGTACCAAAAAAAAAATAGGTAAAAGTAAACTCATGTGAATATAGTATACTATATTATTTTATTTAGGTAACTGGTGAATTTTTCGCTATGAATATTGATCAATATAATGTATATAATTTAATCAATTATAAATTCAAATATATTATTTCCTTTTTAATCAAAATAACTTGAAGTATAAAAGTATGCAGTTTGTCAGAATAGTTTGACACAAAAAATAATTTTTTTAATAATTAGCTTTTTGCTTTTAATACTATTAAACGTACTTATTTATGCGTTCCAAAGTATCCAACTATAATCCATATATATTATAAGAAATATATAATGCATAATATAAGTATAGTAATATAATATAGAAATTTAACGATTTTAAATGTAAGTATACAATCAAACAACGATAAACGATGCACGGTTGAGTAATACAATTATATCGTGGTCTTGTATATATTTAATGAACCTGACTAGAGATGAATATAATTCAATATCTGTATACATAAATCACATAAATTATGGCGATATATTTTCCTGACTATCGATTTGCCGGATACTAGACTAAAACCATGTCCAAATGAAGCACCAATAGCTATTCTTTTTGAATCAGTCCAGTAAATTCTAAAACACTGTTAAACGTATACGAGTATAATGGTCTTGAAGATCCCAATGATCCCATACCACGGACTGGAAACGACACGGTAGGCGGGTTATGGGGGATGGCCAACCAAAGGTTCCTATGTTATCATCAACACCGTTCATTGAATGTTTTCAGAGCTACCGGTGATTTTGTTTGGTTTCTCATTTTGTATCTCAGTCCATGTTTTATACGGATGGCGCTGTAAACTCTCAATACTAATTTCGACTCCCCCTCTTGCATTTGCCACTGAGCGGAGCGAGAAAGCCAGTGGTTTTACAGCGGTGTTTTTTTTTTTTTATCCTGTACACAAAATTTCTACCAGCAGGATTGCTTCAATTTCAACATATAGTACTTTATTTTTTTACAAATTGGATCAAGATGGTATTTTAAAGAGGTCATTTTTCGATTTTCACAATAGTTATTTAATTCCATGGGAAAAACTACCAATAAATGAAGAAAAACCGCTAAAAATGGGATTTTAAATTTGCTTATCTTCATAGCAATGAATACAAAATAATAATATCATAATATTAATTCAACTTACAGGCTATAATAAATAATAACAATATAAAAATCCAGACTAACATCAGTTTCTGCTCAGTACTGTTTTTCTTATACAATGATATTATATCATTGAATTCAAGTTCAATACAATACATTATACATTGACCCACTTATAACCTACAGGCTACTGTACAGCAGAGCGACATCCACTTACCCGCTTTTTAAAACTTTTTACCCTTTCTCACTAAACCTATCTTATTATATTATAAAAAAAAATGAAAACCGTTTTTGCTGATTTATCATTTTAGCGTGTAGCGTATATTATCCAATAATGCAAATTGATTCAATTGTTTTAATTGACATAATAATATTATGCTTACATAATAAAAAGTAATAAATTAAAGCATATGGAAAACATATTTTTTAAGGCACATATTTAATACATTATCATTTATCAGTACCTATAGTCTCATAATCAAATGTTATACATTTTTAATATATTAGTATTAATTTAAATAATTGATCGATGCTTCGTGTATATTTTATATATAATCTTATACTTGAATGATGCTCAGGAAAGACTGGAAGAGGATATTGTTGAATCTAGCTGATTGGATTGATCGATAAAAATACTCTTTAAAGTTGTTTATTGACGTGAATTAAATGGCATTCCTTATCCGCGAGATAACTAGAATGATGAATGAATCCAGCTGGTCCAGACAATCTAAAAAAAAACCACAAATATCCCATAAATAAATAAAAAATGTTACAATAATATTTTTTGCGTAATTCTCTGCAGTGGAGTTACTTTCTTTAAGAGGAATAAGAAAGAACCCCAAAAAATAATCATGAGCGTTTTTTACGAACCGTTTCCAATTATTCGTTGTCAAATAATTATTTGTTATGCCAAATTTGTTTTAAATTATTTCAACGAAGGTTTGTGTAAATGTAGTATAAAATACGATATTCATTATTTTTCTCACTTTTTCTTGTAGATATTTAATAAAAGATAGAATTATGTTTTATCAATTTAAACAGTGTGAAAAACCAAATATTTTCAAATTTGATTATTATCTACCATTTTTTTTTTTAGATCATTTAAACATCAAAAATAATTTATAGCATGTATAATATAATAATATATCAAAAACAAGTAAAAACTTTTTGAATAAAATTTTAACTTAGTCTTAAGTTGTAGTACATATAATTGGTAGGTACATTAGTTGGTTTGTAAATAAATGCGACGACATATTTTCATGTATGTGGTTATCTTTTTTTTTAAGTGACGCTAACAGTATCCTTGAAAAATTCTAGAGAAATCAATCTTTATGCGTAACAAAGACCACCTTATGTTTAAATTAGCATGTATTAATGAACATGATAAAAATAAATAAAAAATATTTGGTGTAGGTACTGAATTTGGATTTGAAATTATGCTTCGACTTCGTTAATGTGTTTGATACGCCACATGTCATATTTATATCAATTATATCTATTTTGAACGTCTAAAACCTTTTTTTTATTTGGGCCACATAAAATATTTTAAAATATTACGAGGGCCGCAAGTCAAAATGAATGGAAAAAAACTAGCCAATTTCGAGATAAGTTGAAATACATCAAAATCGTTATAAATAGAGAAAATACCAAAAACTTAATCATCCTCATCGCAAGTGCGCGCGACACACTTTGATTGTTTTGTTATATTTTATAATTATAATAATATTAGTTTTTAAATTTATATATTTTTATCAATTCAATGAGTTCTGTTAAGGCCACATATGAATCGTTGGAGGGCTGCATTTTGAGTATCGCTGGTCTAAAACGTCTCTAAAATTCATCATCAAAACGGTTATCTTTGTGTACATGGTAAATCCGCAAAACCGACAATAACCACAAGTGCTATTATTTAATTTTTTGTCAATCTTGTTGGTATAGGTACAATTAATTAAATCATGAAAATATAATTATATATAATAATATGTATACTCGACATTTCAAATATCATAATATAGAAAGCATGCTAAGTATAGTTTCGTAATATATTAAAATGTTGTTCTGTATCTTATTATTATAAATTCTATAAATTCAAGAGTTTTTTTTTAAATGTAACTGTAATTTAAAATCTACTTACAGTTTCGTAGTAGATTGGCGTGTAGGTTATTGCACTATATTTTTACGACTAAACCAAGGCTTACGAGAATTTATGGAACAATAAAAACATACATTATATAATAAAAATACAATATATTTTTTCATTTATTGTTCGTCATCTTCCCGTTGTGTGCTCGACACCATCATTATCTTATTCGTACCTTACTACCAGTAATACAGACTCATAAAAATCGATTTAATTGACATGCTTACATAGCAGATGGTGATTTCTAAGATAAAAATCATTTGGTATGCATTGCATCTGGTGAACAGTTACCTACGAAACACGTATTTTTTTAATACAATTTTAATATAATATTATTGTCAATGACCAAAATTCAAATGATACTTTTGAAATACTGCTTAGCATTAGCTTATATTATATTTTATCAATTATTATCTATGCATCATGCATGTATTATATTACTTAGAAATGTTAGGTTTTCTCGATTGTAATATTGCTCTATATACTTATACATTGTACATCATATTACTTTCTACCTTATGACCATCTGCTCTTGTTTAACACGTCGAAACCACCGCCCCCGCCCCGTGAACAGATTATATTTTTTCATTTATCACACGTGCCGTTTTATTCAAAATCTATACACATTTAGGTACCCCTCTATAATAATATTATTTACTCGTTATTCATGGCAAATGTTCATAATAATATTTAGATGCCAGCAGCCAGCTATATTCCAATAATACTGATTACAATAATCGATGTTATTATTATTTTATTTTTAATATAATATGTATCCACTACCCACCAGTAGTATAATATGTAAATTAACATACAATTTGCAGTATAATTTTATTTCCACAATCAGTTACTCGACAAAATGTGCAACAAATAAATACGATACCAGCTACAAATTATGCGTATAATATAGCTTGAATAACGGATTTGAATAATTCTCCCAAAGTATAAAGTATATGGTTGAAATATGCTGAGTGCTGCGAAAAAACTCAATTGGAAAAAATATATTTTAATATTCTGCTACTGCAGTTTATTACCTGGCGAAGCATGCAGAGTTTTTATTGACGGATCTTTTCAATTTAAGCGGTGCAAATAGTTGGACCCTACTTGGTCCCTAGATGCTATGAAAAATAATCATCAAATTAGTGTTAGACAAATCATTTTTATCACTTACCAAAAATTAAATAGTTTTGAAATTAAAGGCAAAGAAATGGGTTTCATTATTACGAAGGGTACATTGTACAACGTTTAATGTGCACCATGCTATTATTTTTACTTTATTGTTTTTGGTTAACTCCGTGATATTTACTACAGTCTGACCAGTAGTACCAACGTTCTTGGTGTCAGAAATATGTCAAATAAGAAATTCCTACATAATAATATATTTTTAAGGTAAAATCAAATACAAATAGCTATAAATCATCTTAAGCATATATTGCACCGACTTAAAACGTTACTTATAATTAACTCGCTATAGCTTACTAAAATAATGTCATCATAATATCTAGTATAGGTTCCCATATGCCTTTATCTAGCTATTGATGCATTAATGGTTGTTCTAAAAAGGCATAAT